GCTGCCTAATGTAAGCACACATTTTTTTTATTGCCTAGATGTGTGGACGAGCTCACAGCCCCCTGGTGTTAAGTGGTTACTGGAACCCATAGACATCTACAACGTAAATGCGTCACCCACCTTGAGGTATAAGTTCTAAGGTCTCAAGTACAGTAACAACAGCTGCCCCACTCTTCAAACCGAAACGCATTACTCTGCTTCACGGCAGAAATAGGCGGGGCAGTTGTACCTACCCGTGCGAACTCACAAGAGGTCCTACCACCAGTAATTACGCAAATTATAATTTTGCGGGTTTGATTTTTATTACACGATGTTATTTCTTCACCGTGGAAGTCAATCGTGAACAATTGTTAAGTACGTATTTCATTAGAAAAATTGGTACCGGAAATGCACCGGACGTCTTATCCTTTAGGCCACGACGACTTCACATTACGACGACACATGTGTATATTTACATTTAACTAAATACAAAGCTATCCCTTTCAATTCGAAAGAAACGATACCCGAAAACCCCTACATCCCAACATGCATCAGGAGTTGTAGTATGTCGTTTCCTTCATTAACTATTAACTCTGGAACACTTCATAGACCCGATTTAACGACCACTACATCTACCCTTAGAAGGGTTCTTGATACAAGTTGACACACTGAACACTGAGGCATCGTAAAATACCCTGGTATTAAGATGGGCTCGTAAACTAGAACCGGTATGACAATCTAGGCTTGTATTTCATCATCTCATTTCAATACTCTACTTGCTTTCTTAGCCAAATTAATTGACGCAGCCACTACACTGCACTACAAGCCCACAACCGCACAGCGAGATTTCGCTCCACTGACTCTGGAAGCTTGCTAGTGGATGTTTCTATAAAGAGGTCTGAGAACCTTTTATTTTTACCATAAATGAGCAATATCCTAATTGAGAGTGTGGTTACCGTCACCCATGGAATAAGTAAAGTTAAAGGAAGTTTTTTTTATTTTTATTTTATTACGTTGGTTAGTGGACGACCTCACGGCCCACTTGATGTTAAATAGCTACCGTAGCCTATAGACATCTCGAGACATGAGTTCTAAGGTCTCAGTTTTTACAGTACAACGGCTGCCCCACCCTTCAAATCAAAACGCATTACTGCTTCACGGCTGAAATAGGCAGGGTGGTGGTACCCACCCGTGCGGACTCACAAGAGGTCCTACCACCAGTAATTACGCAAATTATAATTTTGCGGGTTTGATTTTTATTACAAGATGTTATTCCTTCACCGTGGAAATCAATTGTGAACATTTATTAAGTATTTCATTACAAAAAATTGTACCCGCCTGAGAGATTCGAACACCGTTGCATCGCTAGATACGAATGCACCAGACGCCTTATCCTTCAGGTCACGACGACTTCAGTCTGGATTTCTAAGAGCAATGTTAATCAGTCATCATAAGATTAGCTGTCTATGGGCTCCGCTAACCATTTAACACTAGGTGGACCGTGAGCTCGTCCACACATCTAAGCAATAAAAATATATAAATAAACACGGACGTATAGAATACGTATTAAATTCTAATATCAATTGCTAAAGTCTAATTTATCACAATTACGGCCATTTCACGTTGTATTGTTACAATTCGAACACAAACTAAATGGTTACGTTACGAGTGTTTCCGCGTTGCTCTGCGGCTGACAGATGAAAACCTGTTACAAACACTAGGTAACGTTTTGTGGTGGACATCTTTTTGTTAAATAAATGGTCCGTTATGGGTAACCGATATATTTATTTTGTTTATGGTTAGATTCGGTTCTTTTATTTCAATACTAACTGACCCGGCAGACTTCGTAGTGCTTCAATCGATAAATAAAAGACCTAAACTTTTGTATATAATAAACTTAAAACAAACAAAAGGAATCCGTCCGACGGGGGACACATCAAAGGAAAAACAAAATTGTTATTTTTATTTAATTCCGAGCATTTTCATATTTATCTACATTTTAAACCCTCTCTGGACCTCAACAAATAATTCAAGATCAAAATTAGCCAAATCGGTCTAGCCGTTCTCGAGTTTTAGCGAGACTAACCAACAGCAATTTGTTTTTATATATATATAGATATTTAGTAGGGAGATATGGACAACGTGGAATAAAGAGTGGGAGACGAGGTATCGAGAATAGATGAAAGACTTTAACCTCATATCTGAAAGTGGCCGGCGTTGACATTGTGAGTTCTATAAAATCCGGTAACCGCTTCACATCAGGTGGCTCGTGGGCATGTCGTATGTAAACGTGAAAAGAACACATTGAAAGCAAAACCAGTACACTAAAAAGTGCGTAGAGAGATTTAAAAGCTATTGCTTAAGATATTTTATTTCAATGAAAGAAACTTTAGCTTTAACCAGATATATTTTTATCATATCACCGAAATCTTATTAATGAAACATTTATGAATATTGTTAAATATAGAGACGTAGTTATTCCATAATATCCTCTGAGATGAATAAATACATTAGCAAGAGCTAAGAATACTGCGTAATATCTATCTATATATCCTACTGTACCTAATCTATATATAAAAAAATGAAGTGCTGTTCATTAGTCTCGCTAAAACTCGAGAACGGCTGGACCGATTTGACTAATTTTGGTCTTGAATAATTATTGGTAAAGTCCAGAGAAGGTTTAAAAGGTAGATAAATATGAAAATCCTTGGAATGAAATAAAAATAACATATTTGTTTTTCCTTTGATGTCCCCCCCGTCGGACGGATTCCTTTTGTTTGTTTTAAGTTTATTTTATACAAAAGTTTAGGACTTTTAATTATTGATTGAGGCACTACGAAATGTGCCGGGTCAGCTAGTTTACATATACATAATTCTCTCTTAATCTTAAATACCAACTCAATATTTTGTTACTAATGGAAATATAGCTTTATGAGACAGGTACAGATGACGGCCGTCTGGTGTAGTGGTAAGTGACATGGTCACTACATAAGGGGGTCGCGGGTTCGAATCCCGCCAAGGGAAGTTATTTGTATGATAAATATAAATGTCTTTTCCAGGGTTATGGATGTATATTAAATATATGTATGTGTATAATAAAAATCTTACATTTATTTCCGTTATCTGGTACCTGTAACACAAGTTCTTTACGAACTTAGCACGGGACCAGTTAACGTGGCGTGATTGTTAGTAAATATTTATTATTATTATTATTATAAATCGCTAAATAGAAATTATGACTGTTAAAATATGATGCTACGTGAGATCTGATCACTCAACTGTTCCCAGGGTATACTCCATCTAAAGTTATTCGCGTTTTTTTACTTTTGAAATTATTTTGAAATTTTAAATTATAACAGCCATTTTTAAATATTAGTAGCATCACAAAAGATACAATTTTTGGAGTTGCTGTAGCTTGGCAGTCAAGCTCAGGATGATGATATATGGTCTCCGAAACGCAACTTAAATACCGCCACCGGTTAAATTTATATATCTATCTAATTATCTATTGACTAATAGACACAGACAAAACAGTCCGAAATTTTTTATAGATATTTCTATATATATTTTTTGGAACCTATTGACAGGTGCTATCAATAAAAAAAAATGGAAATAACTGTCTCAAGCTTTGTGTTTTCCTCAAATTTATAGAATAAGTGTCAATAAAGAAACAAAGATAAAATTAAAGACACGAATGACTCAATGGTGCGGAAGTTAACGCCCCCGGCCGTTACACCCAGGGTCGTGGGTTCGATTCCCACATGGGGCACATATTAAGTGATGAACAGGTTTGTTTACTCTTTGTCTGGGTGTTTACTATCTATATATGTACACATTTAAACGTATAAGTATGTATTTCAGTCTGTGGTACCCATAACACAGGAAATCCGAAATTGGGACTGCAAAACCGTGCGTTTTTCTTATTGCCTAGATGGGTGGACGAGCTCACAGCCCACCTGGTGATAAGTGGTTACTGGAGCCCATAGACATCTACAACGTAAATGCGCCACCCACCTTGAAATATAAGTTGTAAGGTCTCAGTATAGTTACAACGGCTGCCCCACCCTTCAAACCGAAACGCATTACTGCTTCACGGCAGAAATAGACAGGGCGGTGGTACCTACCCGCGCGGACTCACAACATCTCCTACCACCAGTAATTACGCAAATTATAATTTTGCGGGTTTCACTTTTATTACACGATGTTATTCCTTCACCGTGGAAGTCAATCGTGAATATTTGTTAAGTACGTATTTCATTAGAAAAATTGGTACCCGCCTGCGGGATTCGAACACCGTTGCATCGCTACATACGAATGCACCGGGCTTCTTATCCTTTGGGCCACGACGACTTCGACGTGTTTTGTTCCAAGTTATTTATTTAAAAGGATATAAATCTGTTTATTATAATATGTTGAGAATTCAGCTCCGTACAATGACCGTAACGCCCTTTGAGATGACATGGTAAACGATGACAATAATACGGATCCAAGAACGCAGATACTCGTACCTAATCATGTACCGGTCTTAATATGATACGTCCCGTCTGACTATAAACGGCCACCGTAATCCGTAAATATTATAAAAGGAAACCCACGATCATGTCATGTTGACCTTTCAATTTAACATTCCGATTAATATCGGACATATTTTACTAAGTAAAATACAGCACTAGTCAGAAATAAGTATCAAATTCAGATATATTTAAATAATCTCAATCTCGGCTTTATAAAAAACTGCGGTCTTCAGATTTCTGATTAAAATTAATCCTTTCACGTATATCTAAGGTTTAATTTTGTATCAATTTCATTACTAAATTACGTTATTATGGAAGCTTTATTTATTTTGTAACATGTTAAAATGGTTTCTAATTTCTTGGTTATATTTATATTAAATTGAATATAAGTAACATGTTTATAAAAACCATAAGAAGTTTGTATCAATTTCATTACTTATTTTTTTGTTAAGGCAATATTTCGAATAATCCACAAATTTAAAAGTAATTAATACCAATATATATTACCTTAAAACACTATCCGATATTGGTGTGTCACTAAAAAAATCCTTTCAGTACTTCACATCCAAAACAAATTCGACACGGTTGAAAAAACTCGTGGAAAAACTTTTCGCGGGCGACTTGTCATTAACTTGACATACACGTACTCACTCCGCGGCGAGCGACACGATACTGAGCCTTCGAGGCTCACACACGCCAAGCCCAGCCGAACCCCAGTAAAGGATCTACTCAGTTTAATGCTAAGATCGAAATTTGATCGCAGTTAGGGACGGATGCTGGGAAGACGTCCCGTTGGTTGTTCGGATGTAGAAGATTAGACGCGCATGCGTGCGGTCGTTCAACTTTTGCAGTGGTGCAGCAATGCGTTGGGATTACCTCTTCCGCTTTTGAAGAGCGATTTCATGCGTCATGAGACATGCGACCATTTTTCACTCGCTTTTACTTTTCATTCGATTTAACACACTTTGTAATGAACATCTCGGATATTAAATTTAACCCTAAAATTCTATTAATACTATTTTTGGAACGAAGTTCCTTATGGGACGGAGGGGTACCCTAACCTGGAAAAGCGTCCGTAACGTAAGATTTTTATTAGTAATGCGCACAGTGTCCGAAAAAATAAAATATATTTTTATCATTCATTGACCACGACCTTCTGAGATCTGGCGCTCTGGCGTTCGTTTGCGCAATACACTAACTCTTATGCAAACAACCGTGAATGAAGTGTACCACAATAAGTTCGCACGTTACCGAATGACCGTGGGTTGTTGCGAAACCTCCAGTTTTATTTTCTTTATACCTCGAATAGAACATAAAATTAATATTTATATAATAAGGAACTTCGTTCCTATCCGGTTCCTAACGGTGTCTACACGACACATCTTTTTTTTCTCAGATTTTTAAATAAAAAGATGTTGATCTGTATTTTCTAATGAAAACTCATTTTATGATTTAATCTTTTGTTTCTTAATTTCATTTCATAATTTTTGACGTTACGAATACTGTGCAGTTTTCGTGATCATGGATTACTAGGTGTCATCTGTAGAAATTTGAAAATTACGTTAACTATTCTCTATTTTTCGTTATAATTATTTCTATTAAAATCTAAGAAAATACTACTTTATTTTAGAATCGATAAAGTAAATTTAATTTAGATCTAGTATATAGATATATAGATTAATTAACTAGCGTTTATGTACCAGCATGTAGGTACTACCAGACTAGATATTTCTACCGGGAAACAGTCATGCAATCCGGTATGATGGGTTAGACTATAGGACTAAGATTTAAGCTTCATGTCTCGAGGCAGGTGGTGGCATTCCCATCGGGCTGCTTATGGGTTTCACGAAGTAAAACATACTATGGACCGTGGATCAGCTTGGTACTCTACAGTAATAAATATTCAAATCAAAACTTTTATTTGTAATAGACCAATACTAACTTTTGTTTTAGCTTTACCATGACACAACCCGTAACATTAGAGTAATAAAAGAAACACGTAATTAAGAAGACTACGCTGATCATTTCTTAGCGGTAGTGAATACAAGTACCGGTGGTAGGACGTCTTGCGAGTCCGCACGGGTAGGTACCACCACCCTGCCTATTTCTGCCATGAAGTTTTTATACGATTCGGTTTGAAGGGTGGGACAGCCGTCGTATCATAAAAACTGGGGTTTTTAGAACTCATGTCTTGGGGAGGGTGGCGGCATTTACGTTGTAGTTGTCTATGGGCTCCGACAACCTCTTAACACCAGATGGGTCGTGAGTTCGTCTATTCATCTAAGCAATAAATAAATAAATAAAAGTAGCTGCAACAATAGCTAGTACAGCTGGCGTTGCTAAAACAAAAAAAAGCAGTAAAATATTTAACAACGTTTTCCAGAAAAAAAATAGCTTAGCCCGCAATTAGGGAGTATCCGCGTAACAGTCCCTCTGAATGGTAAGGCTTTAAACTATTTACGTTGTATGTCAGTCTGTTAGTTTTTTGTTTGTGATTCTTAAATGTCAAGTGTATTTTTATCTGCGTTCACGACCATCAATGTTAATACTTTAATGAAATTTAATGTCTTTGTCGTTAGTATCTTTTGCAACAGATCTATAAAGAGATTTATGTAAGACCTGAATCTTAGTCATCCAGTAACAGTTGTAACAACCAAAAATAGATTAGAAACAGGATAGACTGATTTGTCTGCTCCTAATGATCATAATCATTTACTGGTGGTAGGACCTCTTGTGAGTCCGCGTGGGTTGGTACCACTACCCTGCGTATTTCTGCCGTGAAGCAGTAATGTGTTTCGGTTTGCAGGGTGGGGCAGCCGTTGTAACTATACTGAGATCTTAGAACTTATATCTCAAGATGGGTGGCGCATTTACGTCGTAGATGTCTATGGGCTCCAGTAACCACTTTACAGCAGGTGGGCTGTGAGCTCGTCCAACCATCAAAGCAACAAAAAAAAAATCTTAGTCTATATCTATCTAGTCTTGATCAAGGTGGTTGGAGAAGTGCTGAAATTTCGGGAACAGATTGAAATTTAAAACTTTGGTAAGAACCAGTTAAACAAGCGTGCGTTATAAATAAAGAAAATAAGACGCTCCATTTGTTATGAGTTTTTGTTATTGTAACTTGAACTCGGAAACGTTGAGTAACTCTACAGTAAAATTCGATTAAAGTTTTGTCTTTCACATTTTCTGAAAAGCTTTCAGTATTTTCAGAAAGGTAAGGTTTTCCTTCATGATTTTAAAGTTATATCCGCTTATTTTACTAATCTTAGGAAAATAACTATAAAAATAGAAAAAATACTAAATAGTTAAAATTTATTTTAATCTCTGTGATTTGTAGATTTTAAAATAAAATTTATTGTGACTCTGAATAGTTTTTTAATATAAATTATTACTTAACTCCATATTGTTTCAATAGAAGTTTTCCTGCCCTATATACAACGATTGATTGATGTACTTATTTAACATATTGATTTTCTTTGTCTAAACAACAAAATATCCAATACAAATCAAATTGAGAAAATTCTATAAGAACGCGCGTCAATAATTACATACAAAGTTACCAAACAGAACTATATTGGGCCAATCTAATCGAATGGCAGGTACCCCTCGAGATGAATAAATCACGGAATCGGTAAGCAACTGTAGCCCGATATTACTGATTTGACGTTAATTGGTTTTGATCTGAAATGCTGGCCGCTAAAATGCCGCTTTATTTATTCATAATAATATGAGAGTTGCGCTGAGAAAATAAAATGATAAAAAGCACCACTGCCACGATCGATGCACAAACAATAATAATGGTCGAAAACTGTGTGGGGAGTGAGAGAAAGCTTATTTTGTGAGAAAAATAGGAGACAGCCGGTTTCGTTCTCATCCCTAGTCCGTACTATTTACTGAGTGAAAAGTGATAGCAGCAGAGGCCTGATGGGGAAAACTGATCGAGTGAAAATTGATCAGCTATTGACCACCAAGGGTGGAAAATTATTAAAGTATTAATATCGCTAAAAATGAGGATTAGTGGTAGAATGTTGAAAATTTTAGGTTGTATGTATTTTTTAATGCCATATCATAAAAAATGATAGAAATACTTTAAGCTACTTTTTTTTAACTCCAAAAATTATATTTATGCAAGCAGCATTTTAAGACATTCATTTCGCAATCGAAGTCTGATTCTGACTTTCATTGACAAATTAGATTGATTCAGTATATTAATGCGGGGTACGGGGCTAAAATTGCGTAGTTTGGATAGGCGGCTACCGATCATATGTTCGCTTCAAAGCTACATATTTTAGTTGTGTATGACGATCAAATCAACCATTGATATTATTTAAATTAGTTTTTCCCGTCCCTCTAACAATTTTATATTATGCTAACGAGTAAAATGAGACACAGCGAGCTGTACCAAGGTAAAAATTAAGCTGTAAATGTTAATGAACTTATTTGTAATTAGCCAATTTTAATCAAACCAGTGGTCCCGCAGTATTCGAAATTCGACTATAATTAATTGGAATTGTAAGTTTGTACACTATTATGATTGTATTTTATACTTCTATAATCACAAATTTCGCCAAGACTACACTATAAAAAATATTAACAAAGACAAATAATATTTAAACTAATCTCAATTTGATCACAGACTGTAAGCAATAAGAAAAGTTTGACAATAAACAAATGGTATGCATGCGTGTGTGTTAAATAAAACACATGGAAGGTAGTGTGTGTGATGTTTTTTTTATTGATTTAATGTATTTTTTATGCATAATTTAAAAAAAATATTAGCATTCTGCACTCCTTCTCTATATTCTCTATAAATGTGGGAAATTTCATACCTACTCCTCCGTCCGCGCAATTTTCGTAAAAAGGGGTACAAAGTTTTTTGTTTCACGTATTAATTTATTTTAATCAAATATCCAAAGACGGATAATCTAATTGTGTTACTGTGAGATCCCTCCTGTAGTCAAAATGTGACGGCCGCTTCGAAAATTTTGTTGGATAAATATTTAAACAACTTTAAATAAATACAGAATAAGTAAATACACCTCATGAAAGAAGGTGTGAGTGAGCGAGGATCATGAAAGGCCCCGTGAGACGCACATGAATGAGACATGGTCTATTGAAATTCTTATCAGTAGTGACTTGCTAACGACGTCTTCAAGTTCTGCTTCAGCGGACTTACAAAGCTGTTTAGCGTAGCTTTTGTCGATCACACTCGTGACCTATCGTAAATCGACTATTAAAAACTAGATAAGTGCTATAATGATTTTTTTAAACGATTTCTTTTTTTCATATGCATGACCAGACACTTTTCAAGTACTATTTTTTTTTATTGCCCTTGTAGGCTGACGAGCATATGGCCCACCTGATGGTGAGTGGTTACCGTCGCCCATGGGCTTCAACAATGCCAAGAGCCAAGTCGCTGTTTACCTTTAGCAAATTGTGAAGAACCTATGTCTTATTTGTAGAGAACGACATATATGTAGCATTTAGCGGATAAGTGTAGTTTCATTGATGATATTATATTATAATTATAACAGGACACTAAAAGGCTAGCGTGAGCACTTGTGTATACAGTTAACATGAAAGAACACATCATTTTTAGAATTAGTAAGCTTAAACCATTCAA